TGTTGTGGACCTCCCTTTGAAAAGTGTTGTCTGAGAGAGTGGAAAAGACTTAACCACGAGAATCTGACGAATAGGGCAGCTCTATGAGTTTGTGTTTTGGTGTTTTGTGGGGGGCTCGGCGGGGGAGTGTGAGTCTGGATGCTTTTGTCAGAAGAGTCCAGCTGAGCTTTCAGAAATCTCAACAGTCCCCAGTCCAATTTCAAGAAAGAGTTTTTTTTTAAAAACTTCATTAAATGTCAACCGTGTGATATACTTAATTGATTAAAAAATTTAGTGTCATTATTCATTTCTGTTTTGCAACTTTTTTTTAAAAATTTTTTCAATTTTTATTGCCTTTACAGGAGTTAGCAAATGTTTTCTGTAAAGAGTCAAGTAGTACATATTTTAGGCTTCGAGGTCCACTGCTGTTACATAGTCATCTTTTCTTTTTTACAACCTTTTAAAAATGTAAAAGCCATTCTTAGCTCCTAGGGAGTACAAAAACAGGCTGCTGGCGTGGTTCACTGACCCCTGGCCTGTAGTAGTGTTTCTCAGAGTATACTCTGCAGCTCTCTCAAATGTTTGCAGGTGTGGTGTGTGTCTGTGGAATTACTTTGGAAACACTTGATGCAACAAAAATAGCTTTCTTTACTGGAAGACAGTTCCTGTTGAAACTTTTGTTTGGATTTTACAAGTGACAAAAATCCAATTTGAGAAGTACAGAGACTGAGCCTTTGGTAAAGATGACTGTTTGGACGTCCCGTGTTTTCGGGCCACGTTCTCTCATAGAGTAGTTGGGGCTGGCTATGGTTAGCTCCCAACTCGAGTGTCTCTGCGTGCCCCTCTTGCCGCGCACATGTGTGTGCACACACGTCTCATTTAAATGGCTTATACATCCGTTGGTGCAGTCACGGAGGTGCATATCAGTGTGGTGAGGAAGTAGGGGATCGATTTTCGGAAGAATGAAGGTTAGCACAGTAAGGGCAGTTTTTTTGTGAATTTTGTGTGCAGTATAAGAAAGATTGAAATTTATAAAAGAAAACACTGCCCAAAAAATCAACAAAGATAATGATAGTTTAAACCTGTCAGGCTAGAATGGAATTTGTCATGATTTCATGTTAGTAAAAGTATTGATAAAAATAAAGTTTTCTGCTTTTCTAAATGTTTAAGCTTTCTTGTTTTGAATAAGCAAACTCACAAAAGTAGTTGCTCCATGGTGCTCTTCAAATAATTTTTAATTGGTTTTCATTCATAATGAATATTTTATATTATAAGGAATCATTCAGTGAAATTAGCAAATAATATACTTTAAAGCTTGTTAGAATAGTGACTATTCCAGCAATTTATGTTTTAGCTTTGTTATTACTGTTTTTAACAACTCAGTAATACAAAATAGTAATTATGGTAAGAGTCTTATGGCACTTACGTTATGTATTCCAATGGTAAAATTTCCCTTATTCTTTCTTAAAAATGATTTTGGCATCTTATTGTTGGAATATTTTTGGTTTTCTCTAATTCAGTGGTTTTCAACCCAGGTGACCTCTCCCTCCACCCCCTTCACAGAAGAAGCTATCAACCTTTGATTGCCAGAGGACATAATTTTAATGTGTTTGATATTCTAAGAAAGCAACTTTTTTTCTTGTTGAAAAAAAGCTGTTTGGCAGATTACTATTACCTGACAACTATTATTAATGATTACTTTAAGGTTCTGGTTGCTTTTTCAGGAATTTGTATTATAAATATGAAGGGAAAAGACAAGGGAAACTGGAGCTATCATCTTATATTCCTCATAAACAGTTTGAGATCTGAAATCTTTTGTCATGATCATAATTGTAAACAGTTATTTCCAATACAGTCAACTAGTACCATAACCAGTGCCTGAGATGTAATAGGCTTTCAGTAAACTTCTAGTGGGAAGATGGATAAATGTGCAGCTTACCTGTTGTGCTTGCAGAACACATGCCTTGAAAGTGGGTTGAGATGCCTGATCTTTTACCTCCAGGTCCTTTTCAAGTTTGCCGTCAAACTTCAGTGGACGTCCCTGGTTCCTTCTCCCCCACTCCCACACCCTTTCTAAGAAAATAATAATAATAATAGGTAGAGTTTCCTGAAACTTTGATTTGTCAGTTTGTGGGTCTAACTTAATTTAGAATTTTTTTTCACATTATGAGTTATTGCTGTCTTTTTTTACGGGTGAAAAAAACTCAGGCTTAGTAAGAGACGAGTTAAGATTCAGACCCCTGTCTGTTTCACACCAAATCTGTGCTTCTAACCATTGCAAACTATCTGATAGTGTAATTTTGTCCTTGAGAGCCAGATTTTCTGTACATTTTCTTCTTGACTCTCCTGTCACTGTTTTCTTTGTGGGAGGTTTTATTTGCACCTGTGGCTTCATTTACGAACCGCATACCAGTCCACACCACTTTTGCAGCCCAGACACCTCTCTGGAACTTCAGATGGGTGTTTGTAACAAGCTATTGAATACTTCTGTCTTGGAGGTCCATGGCACTTCAGAGTTGACATTTCTCAAACAGAACCTGTTAATATATACCCACTTCTCCCAAAAGGAAAGATAAAAAGTTAAGTCTTTCCCATCTTCTCCCTTACTATCTTCTATTATTTGTTTCTTAGCATGTCATCAGTCTTTTTCAAATTTGTCTTGTCTCTATGCTTTCCACTCCTTTCTCTTTTCCACCGCTAGAATTAACTAATTAAAGAGGAAAACTGTTGTGTGTTTAAAAAAACCTTAAGATCTCTCATTGCCTTTTATGTAGATTAAAAATCCAGGTCCCACAGTGTGGTGTTTTTCTATAATGGGATCAAGATAAAATTAAAGATGATCTTTTCCCAGTTATCAAGAAGGTGCAAATTTTTTTAACATGTTTTTAAAGTTTTTCTCCAAGTTTCTTAAGAATTTTATTATCTGCTACCACTTTTATCATCGTCTATGATAGGGTCATACTTGACTTAGCTTAAACTTGCATACTTAGTGTTGAAGTTTACAAATGTCTGATTTCAAGGGATTTGGCAGGCCTTTCACAATTTGACTCTACTCACTTTGTCAGCTTTATTCACTGCCATGGCTCACTTTAGATTCTTAGAGAATTTGTTTCAGTACCTGACTGCCGCTTATTAATGGCAAGACATTCAAAATGGTGTTAACAGTACTTACCTTTTTGGATTATGAGGATTACATGAAATAATGCATTTAAAGTGCTTAGTTCAGGGCCTGGCACGTAGTAAATACTCACGAAATGTTAGCTGCTATTGTTTTGTTGTTGTGGCTGCTTTACTCCTCAGCCTGATTCCCTCAGTGTACCCAAACATAAGGGTCCTTTTTGTCTTCCCTCTGTACTGCTCCCAGACAGTGGAATGGCTTATTCTTTCCTCCTCCTACTTCCTGTGGGAAGAGATCTACTCTTCTTTTTTCTGGATTTAGCTGACCTAAGAAATTTTTCCCAGGCCAGCCCTAGTAGCCTAGTGGTTAAGTTCAGCATGCTCCACTTTGGCAGCCTGGGTTCATTTGTCAGGCACAGACCTACACCACTTGTCTCTCAGTGGCCATGCTGTGGTGGCAACTCACATACAAAAAAAGAACAAGATTGGCAGCGGATGTTAGCTCAGGGCAAATCTTCCTCAGCACACATACACAAAACAATCCCAGCGTGTATTCCTTTATCACTCCTCCCTTTACATAGGCATTCCCTTATTGGTGCTTTTTGTTCATACTGATATTTGGATCATGTATTTCCTTATTACTCATTTTCCAAACTATTGTCTTCACTGGACTGAGCTTCTTTTCAGTGGTAGGGATTAATTCTCAACCTAGTGGGTGCCAGTGTTACCTGGCCTGCCCGCTAACAGATTTTCAGTCAGTAAACATAAAAGCTGTCATCTAGATTATCTCATTTAACCCCCACAGCCTTTCTGTGTTAGGTCAGCATTATTATCTTTTATTATCAGATACAGAAACAGAAGGTGGATGAGGTTAAGTGATTTGCCCCAGGCCACTTAGTTTCTGAGTGCTACAAGTCTAGAATTCCCCACATTTAATAACCAACTACTGTTGTGTAGCTATCCTCTTATACGTTTGTCTTTTATTTATAATATAAATAAAATAGCATTTAATTTATTAAATTATTTCCTGATTATTGTCTTTGAAGCACTTTTGCTTTAATTTTGTAATGTGTAAAACATCTCAGGAATTGAGATTCTACTGATTCAGAATTGTGAAAGCTTGATCTGTGTAGACCTTGTGCTCTTTGTACTCTAACATTGCTGAGCAAAATAATTGGGTGAATAAATATGTTCAAGACATTGAACTTTTTATATAGCATTTGCATAATAAATAGGTAGTTGGTGTAGTTTGTACTTGAAAAAATGAACATTGCATTTTTTCCCAAAATTTAATTCAATTTTTCACTAATGTAAATTAGCCTTTATTAAATTTTCTTATGTATTTAGTAACATCCTTCAGGGTAATTTCGTGTTTGAATATAAATGATAGCCCTTTCTTAGTCCTTATGTGGGGTTGTTATTTTAGAAACATGTAATAATAACTTTGGAAGACCTAATGATTTCTTAGGGCTTTGTGTGCAATGAAAAACACTCATTCTAATTACTTGTAGGGAGGAACTGGTGGTGGTGAATTAGATTATTAAGTACAAAAGTTTGGCATGTCATTAATTTTATAAACGGTTTAAAGCCAAATTAGCAATGTACATAGTGATTCTTTGAATGATTCTTTGAGAAGTCGTAATTGTGGTTTAATTGAGTTCCGTCATAAATTCCAAGAATGAAGGACAATTTCTTTTAAAGAACAAAGTATGGAGTTGAAAGACGAGCAGTATTTATTGTCCCATTGTATAATGTTCTTTAAATTTAGTTCATGGGTTTGTTTAGCTTTATTGTTTTTCTTTTTAGATTTCCTTGTTTAAAAAATATTCTTAAGTGTTCTTCTCATTACAGAGTATAGTAATATTCTAAATCCCTGTAATAGTAATATTTATATTTTATTTTAGGGAAGCTATGCGAAATTATTTAAAAGAGCGAGGGGATCAAACAGTACTTATTCTTCATGCGAAAGTTGCACAGAAGTCATATGGAAATGAAAAAAGGTAAGATTAATGTTTTTCTCGTGGACAGTTAATTGTAACTATTATGTGAATTTGCAAGTGATGTATTAATATGCAAATAAGAGAATGGTTTCTATTACTGGGTTATTTGCAAGTACAAAATGAAAAATAGGAGATTTGTCTCTATTGAAGAGAGAAGCGAAATAAATTGTGGCATATTTAGTAAAGATCATCTGCCTAAATCCTTGATTTCACAAAATGAAATAATCCATCACTTTTCTTTTGGGCCGTGTGATGTTCAAAAAGTAGCTTTCCTTTTGGTGGAAAATGTAGTTTTATGAACAAACGCAACCCCAAAAGCGCCATTTTAAAAAGGAAAAGACTGAACAAAGCCCTGATTTGAACTATGGAGTGATTGTAAGGAAAAGAGCTCCCAGCTCTCTCCACCTTGACCCTGTGCCTGTTCAGATTAAGAAAAAACAGCAGAACTGAGTTGGTGCTCTCGTACCCCGTGAATGTGGACACCACAGAAATGACCTACAAATCAGGTTAAATTAAATTATATTTATTTGATTTATATAAAATTAAATTATAACAAAGTGATCTTTATATTTGTCACAGTATCTTATAAATTTCAGCATATTTGGGGCATAATTGTGGACTTTTGTTGTTTGTTTTTTCACTTGGTTCCTGGAATTTTTTTGTTAATAGGGTAGTTTCTCTAGTCTTTGTCTTTCAGACAGCATTTTTGTGTTAAAGCGTTTTGTGGACAAAGGCTCCTTGTGGAGGAAGATGAAAGATTTTTTTGGAATGGCTAGAAAGGCACCAAACTGAAGTGGGAGCAGGAATGAAGACTCAGGTTTGGGTGTTGGGTTGAAAGGAATGAGTGGAATCTTACTTAGAGTTTGTGAGATAAAGGGAACTTTAGCATATACATAAGAGAAGGGAAATGTAAGTATATAATTAATTTACATGCTAAAAGAAAATTAAGTCTCTTAAAGTCCTCTAAATCAGAGCTGAAAAGAAGGTGAAACTCTTTAATTGATAGTTTTATCCTCAAAGGATGAACAGGTAAAAGCAATATCTAGAACTCATAAAACCAAGTGTTCTTTTGTTTTTTGGTAAGGAAGATTCGCCCTGAGCCAACATCTATTGCCAGTCTTCCTCATTTTTTGTGTGTAAGGAAGATTAGCCATGAACTAGCATCTGTGCCAGTCTTCCTCTGTTTTATATATAGGATGCCTCCACAGCATGACTGATGAGTAGAATAGGTCTGTGCCTGGGCTCCAAACCTGCAAACCTGGGCCACCAAAGTGGAGTTGTGGAACTTTAACCTCTGGGCTACAGGGCCAGCTCTCAAGTGTTCTTTTTATCGTTATTCAAATTTACTAGATTTCTGATTATTTTATCTTACTTTACTAGTGAAACTTAATCATCAACCATTTATAAACATGGGAAGAAGTTGGTATGGGCAGTTTGGGACATAGAAACCATATCAAGATGGTGGCTGATGCGGGGTCGGTGAGCCGAGGAGTCGACAGAAAGATTTCTTAGACTCGTAAGATCTGGCAATAGTGCTCTTTTATTTAGAAAATAGTGTAGCATGGGGACAGGACCCATGGGCAGTCAGAGCTTCTGCTGCTGCCTCTGCTGCCCCCGCTGGCATGGGGACAGGACCCACGGGCAGGCAGAGCTGGTGCGTGGGGACAAGACCCACAGGCAGTCAGAGCTCCTGCTGCTGAGTTGAGGGTTAGGGCTAAATTTAAGGCATAGGTATATGATTCATCTCTTTACAAGACAAAGGAAAGAACATGAAAAAAAGTTAAAATGGTATCAGTGCAGGTGGGGTCTGGTCATTGGGTGATCCCATGACTTTTAGACAAGAATCAAATCGGATCAAGTAAAGGTTAGAAAGGTTAGACGCCACCACCCTAAACCAGTTACATGAGATTGCCAGACAGCAACCAACTTAAGTTCTTGCCTTCCACATTAAGAGCTTCTAGGGACAAGGTCATCTCTCCTCCTCTTCCTGGTACAGAGAGGGAGGCACCCTCTACAGATAGAGATTTACCTTACAAATGTAAATGTGTCCCAACAAGGGCAAGTTCCATTCCCCAGAGCCTCCTTCCCTGTCCCAGTTTATCGAAAGCAATCAGCCCAAAACAATCCTGATGCCAAAGAGACATATCCTGGGGTGGCCAATTTCGGGTCCCTACAAGGTCAGCCTCCCTTCCTTCACAAACGCAAATGTCTCTCAGAAGGGCAAGCAAAATTCCAGTCCTCGGAGCCTGCTTCTCATCCGCAGTTTTAAAAGTAACCAGCCTAAAATCCTCATCAGTGGCCTCCTTTTTCATGAAGTTGGTACTGGAAATTCAGTGGG